GGGCGACGCACGACGGGCGACGCACGACGGCAGATATGGAATTCCATAGTTCAACGCTAATGTATTCAAAGCAAGAGTTACTCATATTTGGAATTTCCCCCTTCCCATTTTAACCAACACAGTGAGTTACCCACACAGTATCCGTCAATTGCTATTTTAGGCGATTTACAAAAGGAGTGGAAATCCCTGGACACTGGGAATTCCCGTTTCGATTTTCTATTATCGCGCACCGACTCAGCGGGAGTACCTTTACCCGGATAATGGCAGTCCTAAGTCCAAAAACAGCATGAACAATACCTTGTCAGAACCAATGAACAAAACCCCAGAAATTACGGTTTCAAAAGTCTGGGAAAAAAGAGGATAGATCCAGTACCATTTGGGGGGGGGGGGATTCAAGCCCGTTTTGGGGCGCCAGAAATTTGGAATTTCTTTTTCATGTAATATGGCCTTTGCAGATATTGAGGCTTTCTTCTGGGGTCTTTGCACCTCTTGGAAAGAAAGAGATTTAAAACAAAGAAAAAACTGCTTTTCTCTCATTTCCTTAAAAAAAATTGGCTCCATTTTCAGGGGGAGGGCATGGCCGCGTTGACCTCCTGGATCCGCCTTTATGAAAAAAAATAGACACCAACAAAATAGAAAACGCTTGAGGGGGGCTATCATTTCCCCCTCAAAAGTATTTGAGCAGCCCTACAGGATGCTGTCGGTACTACCTGACCAATGTTTTCCTGCTCTTATAACGGAAATAAGTTCAGGGTAACTATCACGGTAAAAATACAGTGTTCTTTGAAAAGTCATTTTCATGAAAGATTGTACACTGCAAGCATAACTGTCAAACGGAGAAATAAGGTAATTGCTATACGTGGTACACATGAAATTCACAGACTGTCAGACTGTGAAGAAAAATCGATGGGATGTGCTCAGAAAATCTTCAAAAACTTTGGGTCGACACCGACCGTGCCAGCTTCCCTTGCCGTTTCAATTAATGTAATCTGAATCGTTTGTCTGGAAACTATGGACTATGACCTCTGTTTCCTCGGAACATTTTAAGCCAGGAACTGAACAACAAAAAACCAATCATTATTCATGAGGTCATTGCCGTTAGAGGGTTTGCCCTCATGACATGATGCATATACAGCCGGAGTGCACGAATGAGGCTGGGGATTTCCACTGGATCCTCGGCGAGTGCAACCACCACAGCAGCACTTACGCGCCCCATCTAACGCCATTTCCATCTCTGCTTAGTCAATGATCGGATCGGAAATTTGGTGAGTGCATGTTCATCATTTACATATAGTTATTTGGGTTCACTGCACAGGCGGTAAGGAATAAGTAGCACTGAGGCCTAAGTGAAGTTGAAGCCTAAAACATGAACAGCCGTTTCACTTTCTTGACTATGTTGCTGTCTGCCAAGTGATGCCAACGATAGGAAGGTGTAAATTGGTGTAATAAGTGCACTGTATAACGCACAGGCTTTACGTGTGTTTCTATTTCTTTGAATGGCCGATAAAAGTCCAACTATACCATTACTGTCCTGCTTTAAAAGACAAAGGGAGCGAATGGTACAATTTATCCGCCGAGTCTATTGGGCCTTCTTTTGTTTAGGCGTATTCATCCGAAGCGCCGCTTCTGCTCACCATGCCATGCATTGGTAAAAACTGTGGCTGGCCAAAAGTACGAAAAATATCATAATAATTAATAATGTTTACAAAAAATCTTACGCAAATATAAGAACACTACACGTGTATCTATTGCTAAATGGAAATAATAATGGAGGATGAGCACTAAATTTGAGGCAGATGTTGCCATACAAGACTGAATTTTCTGCTAACTTTGTCCGTCCGGACAAAATGGCGGCGAATGCTTGAAAGCACAAGGGGGATCTCTTGGGCTCTGTACCCGACTCGTGTGTCCCAACGTGCATCCGCCATTGTAGTCGGCAACGACTGCGGTACCAGACAGTATTCGGTAGTTTTACAATAGCAAGCCTTCATATCTTTCATAAAATGGCAACAAAGCTTGAGTATCAATACAATAGCCTATAGACATGCGCGATAACCAGAAGTGTACACACGCGGCACAAGTTGTGACATGTCGTGGGCATAATTTGACAATCATGACACCTGCTTACATTATTTAGTTGTTTGCAAGTTTACGCCTTTTATTGTCAGCCAACCAGTGAGAATTAATTCGTTTCCGGCTAAGATAGCGAAAAGTTTTCACACATTGTACGAAAATACAAATATCCTCACTTTAGGGACCATACATACATTTAAAAATAACGAGAAAAACCCAGGGATTCTATTTCACAGAAAATAATTATGAATGAACAAAAAAATAAATAAATAAAGGGCCTATCTTGAAGATGATCTATGCATTGAAGTTGGGGGTGTCTTGTCTTGGCTGAACTTGGCTTGACAAGGACTTGCAGTTCAAGGGACTTGAATGGATGCCGAAGATCGTGGGCCAAGTGCAGATGACGTGCACGGTTCAAATACATAGTCTCTTCTTCTCCGGCTTGACTAAATCAGGTGTGGGAATGGAATTCATGTGACTCTGGTCCAAGTCACTCACCGTCCAGCAGCCTATGCATCAGTCATATTATGAACCTCTTTGAAACATCCTGTGGGCCTACATTTGACCGAAATTATTGGATGCAGGGTTATAAATTATGCCCACCTTGCTCACGGAGTCGTTTTAATCAACAAAATGCGCGCACTTTGTAATCCCACATTAGTCCAACTCGGTCAGTATTGTCTCTTGGTTGCAGATTTAGTTCTTGCCTTTTTCCCGATGCAAATCAGATTTAGTTTTTAGTCTAAAGATTTGAGATACGTGCCATTAAATGCAAATGGTGGCAAAGTCCACCAATTATGATGTCAACGTTCAGCAGCTGGATTTTCCAATTTAGCAATAATGCATCGGGGGCGTGTTTTGGCGATCATAACCAGGACCTGGTCACGTTGCTTCCCTTTGTCTAATGGCTTTGAGGGTCTGAAGTGCTACATAATCACGGTTAACTCTGAGCCAATCAAAATTACCGAAGAAAATCTCTGTCGAATTACAGACGAACCAGTTCTTGATTATGACTGGAAAACGCACCCCAAAAAGTATGACAACTATCAGGATTTTAAATGAGAATAACCAATATGACTCACTTTGGAGTGACTTTAAATGACTGTGATTTATTCGATTTGTTTGGCCTATTACAGAAGAGAAAACGGCTGTTGAAGTGGGCTACAATTGTTTAAAAATTTGTCTGGCGTATGTTTTTTTGGTTACACTTTTCTTCTTCAATGTTTCCGTCTGATCGTGTGCTTTGTGGTTTTTTTGCATCATGTGTGGATTTTGGGTGTTGAAAGATACAGCGACCCGACCTGTAGCTCCATAGACGGATTTGTATAGTTTGCTTACTTTCACGAACATATTTGCAATTCGCTTTCCGGTTTCATCAGACTGATGCAGATTTTACCTACGGTGGCCGAGTGAAAAGGCATCACGAAGATTATAGAAACTTTAGTCAATCAATAGTCCCTCTACGGAACTCATGCATTGATAGCAGGACGTTTCCCACTTTTTACTGCTGACTTTCAAGTACATTTCAGACGCAGGAATGGTAAATAACATGCTCATTCGGTTAATAAATATTTCTTTCATCTCCAGCGAAAGGAGCACCATGAAAAACGATTTGGTACCCGCGCAGCCGCAACCCCCGCCTGCTGGGGAAGACGGCTATTGGGGAGCTATATGGGGATCCATCGCAAGGATATGTATGTAAAGGTTATCTGTTATGTCTGATTTTGTAATGCTCGAATTCTTGATAATGGATCCACCCATGTCAATCATGCTTCTCGTACACATCACTCGCTTTAACGTTAGTTTTTTTTTTCGTTTACTTCAGTGACTTATTTGACTGGGAACAACCCTTTTGTGGAAGTTCTTATTTTGATTTCCCAAGTTTGCGGTAAGAATATCATGCAGATCCTTCTCCATGACAATAAATTCTGTTTCAGATCAAATCAAAATCGGACTTTTTGACATTTCTCGAAGTGTTTCCTCAAGAGAAGCACGTAAGGTATGAGTGATCAGTCTCATACCTACTGCTTTCGTTATTGCTTCAGGTATGTTTCGTTAAGTTTGGTTCGACAACAGTTATACTTGATTTGGCGGGATAAACTTAATTAGATTGATCACAAAGTTACCAGAGTTTGTTAAATGACAACAAATTAAGCTACACTGCCCTATAAACATTACGTGCAGCCATGATTAACATAAATAACTTGTTTCGGGTATTTCAAACTGCATGTCCACAGATGCAGTGTGATTCTGCAAGGTCAAAATTTACTGTCAACACCATTCTGCTTCTAATCTATGGGGCCTACTACAAAATAGGCCTAATCTAATACATCTGTGGCAATAAGTTTGCGAGTTAATTGTCTAAACACTGTCCAACAGCCATAGCCCGTCATATTAGTTCAGTCTAATGGACTTGAAGTTTTTTCCTCTTTAAAGCAAATTTGGTACAGCGATTCAGAAGAGCACCCGCAGCACCTGACGTGATTGACGGTCCGGAGCAACAAGAGGGTAAAAGAACTTTTAAAAGTTGGGGGGAAGGCAATCGGTGGGCATCAGCATGCAGATTTTGCCCATGCGTGCTTTTGATGCTTACACGGTGCAGCATTGCTTGTATTACATAGGCGGTTTATAACAGCCTTGCATGGGATGTACAAGTACGAGAGAACAAGAAATAACCTACAAAGGCAAACCCGTCACTTCTAGACTTGAAAGAGTAAAGTCGGGCATGATGAATCAGTACGATTTCTTAATGATTTTTCTGTTGAAAGTGATCCTCTTCAGAGTGGTAGTTATCATGGAGAGGAAAAAGCAGGGGGAAAAAGCAAAAAACAAAAAACAAGACAAAAACAAACAAGTATACATTACGTAAAGAAAATCACACTGAATGATAACACAATTCCGATTTTTATAATCGTTTCCTATTTTAAATCCCCTAAAACCACTTTCTTCTATTTCACATTGTCAGCAAGAAAGAGCATAACCGTGAAATTACTCAAGCTTACAAATGAGCAGGGTTACGTTTGGCTTCAAGCACTCTTCTTAAAAACAATATTATTGGTGATTTTCTGATGTTTCAGACGGGCCTACACGGCGTGAAAATCGTGGCACGAGGAACAGGAGACGAAAGAACAGGAGACGAAATGCGCCAGGCAAGTTCATACACAAAAAGGGTAGATCATGTAATTATGAAACTTCGGACAGCGAGTACACGCAGGCTGCAGATGAGAGAGAGACGGTATAGGATTGTAGCAAATCTTAGTAGCTAAGTTTGTTGTTTTCTGTTCTCGATGAAATGGCTGATCAGCACAGAAGATTATCTCCAGGCACTATTTTGTCCAACCCTTAGTTGCATCTAAGCAACGTGATCATTCAACATCTTATTAATAAATGAGCAAGGTGTCAATCACAGCCTTTTCTCGGTAACATGCTACATGAACGCGGTACACATGACACGCCTGGATTAACCGAAGGAATGTGTTTCATTTACGACAAGCGTTCATCTCAATCCAATGTGATTGCGATCTTTTGCTTTCAGACGGTACAGATGAGCCGGACACCACATATCCTGCCTCTCATGTGGCTGACGGAAAGGGTGTCGTGCGCATAAAACGACTGGTAAATGATGGAGATTGTAATCCTGTCGTAATGGATGCTCAAGCTTGCAGGGTGAATTACGTAACAAACCAAGGGCAAGTGCAGGAACAACGTAAGTCAAATACGGGAAATCGGAATCTCTTTAAACATTCCTCACTAACTGTATTATCTACTGCAAAAGTTTAAACCCTTGAGGGGTAAATGTCTCAATTAAAATTGCACACATCCCTTTTCAAAGATTTTAGGTCTTCAAGATATATTTTAGGTCTCGATATATAGCCCCAGCAGTTGTTCTAAATTCAGTGTCATAAGGAATTATTTCAAAGGTTGGTTCCTATAACCACCAGTGACATGTCTCTTTTCTAGTTTTTCTGTTTAGCTAAAAGTTATATTTTATTCCCCCCCCCCCCAACATGTAGGAGCGATGGACCCTGGAAAACTTACTGGAGCCAACAGACTGGAAATAGACGAAGTGAAACTTTCGGGCAAGAATTCGCCATTCATGCTGAGTGCCTCACATTGTGACTTCAACTATGAGAAATAGTTTACGACATGAAAAGGTTCGACGCGCATTTCCAGTCCTACCGATTTACTGTAAAAGGGTGCTAGGTGATTGAACTGTGTGGAGTTTTCGTTTCCTAATTTCTCTGTTCTGTTGTTTTCATACTTTGTCACCGATCTCTACATTCGTAGCAATTTTGACGCGAACTTATTGGCCTTTCGTGGCCAACTGTAAAAAAAAAGAAAAGAAAAAGAAAAACAGTTCCATTGCAATTGTAAACATAACGGCGGTTCATACTTGGCGATAGAGCGAACACAAGCGCGATTTGGTGAAGTGAGATCAGAAATGTTGAGCACAGTTCAGTTTCACGGAATGAACCTTATCCACGAGCGTCCATTTTTAAAGTCTTGTTCCCTGAATCTATCATATTCAGTGAACTCTGTTAAATGGGGTGCTGCCAAATTATTTTGAGCTCCAAAATCTCACTTTTAGTCTTTTAATGCGACTATCACAAATTTTTTTTATTGTTTTTTACAAAAATCGGCACGAAATTTATGGACTTCTATTTTGTCACTGCATGCTCTCATAATTAAAAGTTGACCTTACGACCAATTCAAGATGGCTGACACACGAATACAGTCGTTGATTTCGATACCGGAGCATGAATTGACCTGTTGCAATTTACATGTACATAGTTGAGCTGTGAATACGAAAAACGTCTGTAATCTCTGTACGGAAGGAATTCAATGTAAGCGCCCCAAACACATCGCACATCTCGTGGAGTCGGGTGTAGGTAGTTGAAATCCTTGAAACAAAGCCTTACTTCGTTACCTCCACCCGGCTCCGCGGAACATATACATGATGTGTTTGGGAGCAGATCTGGTTCGGCATTCTGGACCATGCAGGGAAAATGGGTTAGCGGTAGTTAAATTGTAATGGTTACGGATATGTTTGTAGAGGAATAAGCAATCATTGACTGTTCTTCTCTGGACAAGAGTTGGCAAATTAAACAAGTCAAATAGTTCAGAGTAAGATATAATACGACGATCATTGTGTAGGACCCTATATATAAACATTAAATAACGCCGTTGCAGTCTTTCCAGTCGCTCAGATTGGGAGTGAGAAAAAGAATTAAATACTACTGTGCAATAGTCCACTTGGGGTCTGATGAGGGAGCAGGACAGTGCACAAAGTACATGTTCACTTTTACAATGTTTGAAGTTTCGCCACACCAAGCTAATAATGCTGTTAATAATGCTTATAATGTTTATCCCTTCATTCGATTTTATACTTTATAAAATGTATTACAATTACATGTATATTAGCATTACAAGCAGGCAGAGGTCATGTGTAAAAAAAAGTAGTAGTGTAATCGTTAAAATATAGCTTAGTCCTTTGTGGTAGCTACATATTAATTTCTGGCAACTTGTTGACCTCAATTTTAATTATTGTATTTAAACTTTTGATCTTTTTGTCTTCTAACGCAATGGTCACAGAATCTTTGAGAATTGTTCCTTGTGACTATGGCTGCGATGGTATTGTTTTGCATAATTAACGACCATCATGTTATTGAAATTTTCCTTTTAGTCGCCTTTATCAGGATCGAATGTCTAAGCCTTCATCATTTCGTTTGCATTTCTTGATCATGATTTGTCCACTGTGGGTACCAACGCGTGCCAACCCATTTTTACTTGTACCAATTTCATGTATTAACCCTAACTTGATTCCTCAATCCACTCATTTCAAAAAGATTTTACATGCACTTTAGAGGGAGTTAGGTTGAGGGATTCAGACTCGATATCAGAAGTGTGGACTTGAGTGCAACACTGACTCATATCATATGATACGGGCGATTCACAATCGTGCGCCGCCGAGAGTTTGCAACGCGTTTGCCAATCACAACGCACGAATTCTGTCGACCCAATGCGCGTTTAGAAAGAGTCGGCAGGTTTCGCGCATTACCGGATTACCCTCAGTCCAAAATAATGTGAACAGTGTCTTGTCAGACCAAGTGGGAAAAACACAGACTTAAACTGTCTAGAAAACAATGTTGGTGGACCCAGAACCAATTTTTTTGTGGGGGGGGGTTCAAACTGTTAAAAGGCACCAAAAACTTTTGAATATTTTCATTTTTTTCTGGCGTGTGAGGCTTGAGCGTTTTCACGCTTTGAGAAGAAAGAAGAAGAAATTTAAAATAAAGGAACGAAATCGATAATATCTCTTTTCTTCCATCTCTGTTTTTCTCAGAAAAGTCTTTTTCATTGGACATTTTATAAAAGCAGGATTTAAAGTATCCGTAAAATAGCTACAACTAATAGCATAAATGTAAAACTAAGAAAAAGACGGTTTCTGTGGTACACATTTGAAAATAAAACAAGACTAAATAAAACTCGATGGAATATGCCCGGAATATACCCGGAATATGCCCGGAATATGTCCGACTGTTGCAGTTTCCCTCACAGCTTCTCCAAAGACATGATTCAGGGAATCGTTCGTCTGGGAACAAGACTCTGACCTTTGTGTCCTTGAATTCACGATCACCGGCGCGCATAAAAACAACAGGGGAATTTCCAAATTCCACTGTATTTCCGGCCAGTGCTGCCTCATCGACAGTAGCAGCACTCAGTGTTCCATATTACTACTGCAAACGGACTAGAGCTCCGTAACACCACATCGACTTCTGTCTAGCCGGAGCTAATTGGGAATTTTGTGAGTACACATTTATCATAATTCATAGATAGTTCTTTGGGTTCACGGGAGGTGCTCATCCGCGAGGCAGATTTCACATTACGCTGATTAACTAAAGGAATTTACTCAAGTACTACATTAGTGAGGTCTAGCTATCAGTAGTCATTTCACTTCCTTGACTGTTTGACAATCAGGTCTGCATTATGATATAAAAATGTCATCTGGTGTAGTAAGTGCACTGAATAACAGCCAGATTTTATATGTTCGTGTACAGACCCCCTGTGTATGACGTCAGGTTGGAGAGAATTTCGATCTTTTTTCCTCTATTGATAGGCTCAAATAAGCCTTTTGTGCATTCATTTGTCTTGAAATCTAAACAGCAAACATGTCCTCTGGGAGGGCCCTCCACGCAGGCCCTCTAATTCTTTCAATCCAAAATAAAAAATCAATTGATGGGCATGGATTTCCTGCTTGAAAACTTGTAGAGAGGGGACCGGGCGTGTACGATTCGCAACACTAGGCCTAATGATACTGGTATACAGTATGTGGTTGGTAGATGTACCCATGATTGGCCTATGTGGTGTAATTTGACCTGTCGTACACAGACCACGGCGGCAGGCTGCGTATTTTTTCCCCAAACAATCCAACAGTTTTGAAGACGGCGCCCTCTGTGTTATGCATTATTCACATTTTGTCCACGGCTTTAAAGGAACCAGGACATAGAAATATTTCTATAAATTTTACGAAAAGCCTTTGAAATTGCATCTTTAGGTTTCAATTAACCTAATTTTAAATTTTTGTTTTGCATTTTAACCCATATTTTGATGCTTTTTGCCAATGCCTATTTGCATATTCATGAGCAGAACAAGATGTCATCCAAGGACTGAATCTCAATGTTGCATAGATTTGTGCACAGAAAATTTTTTTTAACCACTGCTTTCGCAGATTTCATTTTCTTTGTCAATTTATTGCTGTGTAAGTATATGGCAATAATGCAGCAAAAATACTTTTCACAGAAATGTTCCCAGATAGCAAATTTGGGGTTCACAATTTGAACATGGTAACATGTAACCTGAGCCATGCATGCCTTCCTGGATTTTCATCAAAGCAAAAGCGCCCTCATTTGTCCAGAAATGCTTGGTCGATTTTGATGTTTGAAAGAGTGCACTGTTCGTTTCATGTAATTCAAACAAGATGTAAAACAGTCTTCATACATGGAAGAAGAGTACAGAGATACACAAAAAGTGATTCTAAGAAAAAGTCATTTCCTGGATCCTTTAAGGAGTGGTTACATAATTTATAAAGCTTTTCAATTCACCGCTGCTTGGCAGCCAAAATGCGTGAAATGGTTGGGGCACTCCCGACTTGAAATCCTCCGTACCAGGTTTAAATCCTCTCTCTCGTTTTACAACTCTTTCTTAAACTTGTAAATGCAAGTGAGAAAGAAACATTTTCATGATAAGTTTGGTTTGTAAAGTGGAGAACCACGCATAAAATATGCATGTAACAGACCAATCACAAGACAGGAAACCGATCACGTTTGGGGGAAAAATCGCAGGTGGGTTAGCTCTATGCATAAAGTGAATGACTTAGCCAGTCCCTTCGTTTTTTTTTTTCTGAAACCAAAGTTGATTCATAAAAATTAACCTCAGCATTCAATCTTTGAAATATTTTTACATAAAGTTAAGAAAAGATTTTGGAGTTGAGGTTACACTGAAAAGCAAAACAGTGATGCGTCATCTTCTAAAGGGGCTTTGTCATAGACTGCATCAACATCAAACGTTGCCGAAATTGGAAGTTTTTCCGCTTTCCGTTTTTTATTTGGATGATTGATTTTAAAGAACGCGAAAGTTTTTTTTAAATTCTATTCACAGCATGTTTTCTGTTATTTCATGGGCTCATACACACTGTACAGAAAACCCTTGAGGTACGGTTTGATCCAATCGTAGTGTTGTAAAGAAAGTGTCCTCATTCGTAGCCTTTACATAAGGATTAGCTTCGTGCATGTACAGGTATGCCGCATAAAAATGGCGATGTAAAGCGTATTAATCTTACGCACCCAATAATTTTCAGAATCATGCAGAATACAAGAACATGAACGTGTTGAACGTCTGGCTGGAAGTGATTAAAAGCAGCATCGTCTTTCTACGGTTTAGGAACGAATGGACAACGGGGTTGCTTCCCTGGACTTGAATAACACGGTTCAAAACACATTAACTACGCCAGCAAGTGGAGCGGCTCTAAAACCGGAACATTTGATTGAAATTGTCGCAGCAATTGAGACATTCCTCATCTTCCTTGTCGGACTTTGTGAGTGCCTTCCTCATTTTGGCTGCAAATGTAATTTGTTTATCTTATTTATTAAGTAAGACGCTGTCAGGAGGAACCTAGATTTAAATCACAGTTTAAGTGAAGGGCCATGTTGGTAGGATGGGAAGTGTTTTGTTGGTAACGACGCGACCCCAACGTATGCATTTCATATTGTCGTGAACCTTTGGCGAAGCGGAGTCACCACCAAAGGAGCCCCCGTTGCTATTAAAAAATTGCGCCCTCTCTTGGTCCCGCTCGAGGCCCATATACTTCACAAGGAGTCATTCATTCCAACTTACTAGCCATGGCACGTGTAGGACATTGCGTGGAAAGGATCCCAATTATTACAGGCGATTCACAATAGTGCGCCACCAAGTGTTTGCAATGCGTTGGCCAATCGTAACGTGCAAACTTTCTCGACCCTTTGCAAACGCGCACTGGGTCGACAAATTTACGCGCATTTTGATTGGCCAACGCGTTGCAAACTCTTGGGGGCGCACTATTGTGAAACGGCCGTATTATCAACCACGCGCCAGTATTGTCCCACACACGCATGGCCAGCTATTACTCAGTGTAGGCCTATCGATGTACATTGCGCAATACTTGACTGTGTACAGACAGTACCGCAAGTTGCAAGCTCAAACAAAACCAAGGTTCCTACCTTTGGTGTAATCTGGGTGCACGTTAAACTGTTCCTCCGAGATAAGAACCAGTTGAAGCAAACCCTCAGACACACAAACATGAAGACTGATAATTTTCAGAGCTGCAATCTATCAGAAGTGGAGACTGACTTACGGGAAGACGATCCGTTTAACGCCGCGTTGACCGTGGAGCATCTGCGTCAGATGCCGCATTACTAAAAGACTTCAGTATGCATCCGCTCTGGTCGTGAAGTTGGCGTTGGTGGCACTTCTGTCTCTTTTCTTAGTATCAAGTCACTGAACCGTGTTTCCAAAACCATCCAATGTGATGTCTCCATGACAAAGTTTGTTGAGACAGTACACACCGACGTATTACATTATAAAAGTAATCACTGTACAATGCTAACGAGGATTATTCTTTTTCGGCGCATGTGTGCGATCGCTCTGATTGCCGTGACGCGTGAGCTGTCCGCTTTATTTTCAGCTAAAGGCTGCATCCGAATCAGTTGTTTAGAGCTAGGTCTAGGTCTTCACTCCATTGAAAGTACGTGGAGACGCACAGAGAATAGACCTAGCCGTAGCTCTGGAAGCCCGTTTCGGACACGGCCTTACAAAACCGCAACGTGCACGACCAACCCCAGGGCTTTTACCAAAAACGCCGCCGCTTCAAATTTAACGTGCGTGAAATGTCCACTCGATGGGGGCCCTTGCTTAATAACGGAGGGAATGAGAGAAATATTTATTGGGGAATTAATTAATTTCGAAACCACATTTTCAAGCTTTACTACGGTAGTATCGCATTCCTTTTTATGCCACAATTTACATTTCCCTGGTTATTCTCTTTAAAACGCCAACACCAAAAACTGTAATCAATCAGTATTTGCAAATCATTTGAAATAATTAAGCACTTTCCTTCTCTTTATAGTGGTATTTCTATTCGGCAACGGCATAGTTAAATGCAAGAAAAAAACTCCAACTGGAGGTGAGCTTTGATCTCGAATTGGATAAATAATTATACAATTATAATTCTATATTCTGAAGTTATTGTTCGAGAATAAATTGTATATCTCATTATTTTACATATTTTCTGATCTTATCAATACTCATCGTTCATTATTGGGTAGGGCCTATACCGTTTTCCACGGTATATTTTTTTTTGCAAACGATACCATTTAAATCAAAATTGTTGACGTGAGTTGTTTCGGTCAGGGAAAGATTGTATAATGAAAAAAGAATGGGGACTCTTCATTGATGGTAAATAGGAAGAGTGTTTCATTTTGGACAGTGTTTGATTATGGACAGTGCAAAGAAATTAATCACTGTTACAGCAAGTGTTTAATTTTTTCCATCAATTTTCCAGGTCAAACACAGACTACGGATAGCACATACAGTGCTGTAACGATGGACCAACCAAACGGTATTTGGAATTCGCAGAATTTTTTCAAACTTGGCTTGCACGTGGTCGTTGTGTGTGGGAAGCCTTCTTTATTACTGGGAAAACTGCTCATCAAAAACGATCAGTTTGGTACAATATGAGTCGAAGGATAAGAGCATCGATGTTCCAGTATTCGAACGATGCAGACTGCAGGAAATGCTGCATGAAACTCATAAAGAGAACTTGCCAGAGAGAAGTTCTGGGGCCCCAGGAACGTGGGGGTCTAGGTATAATGTGGAACCCTGCCAAGCTGTTTTCTGCAGACATTATTTTGCAATGACAATGGCAAGTGTTGAAACAGTCGGAAGCATATCAAGCTTTTGGTGTGGGGGGGGTTCAAACTTGGGTGCTGCTTCGGGCTTGTTGGAGAAAAAATATCAAAAGCCTTATGGTCCCAACATCCTTGCTTTTATTTCGTGGTGTTGTTTTCCGAGGGTTTTGGTGTTAATATTTGATAAAATGAAGTATTATTATTAATATTTGATTAATGAAAAATCCGTCGGGGGCAAACCTCCCCCTACCCGCTGGATACGCCACTGAAACCCCTCCTCGAATATTGTTCACGTTTCCTAAAACATGGCTGATTTTTTTTTTCCATTTCTGAGCAGAAGGCGCCCAGCAGCCACAATCAGTCGAGACTGACCAGCCGGATGGAGTACCATCCCTTGGGGCTCCCCAAGCAGCGGGTGGCGGTTCGGCAGATTCTCGCCGAGTAGCCAGCACCAGCGATACCAGCAAATCCTCACCAAATTCCCAAGGTTCAGCAAGCCACAGCGCCGTGGGAAATTTGGTCAAGGAGTTGGAAATTGACGGAGAAAATTGCCCATTTCTTGGGAAGGTTCAACATAGCAAGTTCCGGTTCGAATCAGATGGAGCACAGGAAATGGCCCAAGGAAACGAGGCCGATTCGAGTACGTAGGTTTTGATCAGTATACATGTAATTGATTTAGCCATTAATGCTATGCATTAATTAGAGTAACTCAAAAAGTATTTTTGCCAAAATTTTCTTTAGAGTTTCTTTGAACAAATTAAATTTCTTCGAAACAGAAAACCTGTTTCAATGCAGAACATGTTTAGAGTTCTGGTGCATAGTGTTTAGCCATTTGGGGCAGTTGGTAAAGAATTTGACGTCTAATGTTTTACATCTTTAAACAGAAATAGCAAGGTTGAATTGCTTAACACTGTGTTTATTAATAAAGTGTTCTATAGAAAACAACTTTCCAAGATTTTAACTCCCATCTTTAACCATTTCATGTAACACTGAACTTGAAGAATTTGATACCTCCTCTTGTCAATGCAATGCACAATCACATGCTCAATTATTGCCAATTTATGCCGGCCTGTAGGCTAATATTGGTTAGTTATGATCTGTCCACAGCAAGAGAACAGGGACCCTCACGTACAGAACCGCCCAATGCATCTGGCCTTCGGAAGAGCGCAGGACCGGGAGGCGGTGATGCAAGAGGGGCCAGCCGTGGAACAGCAGGAGTGACAATTGGCCGCATGAAAGTAAGCGGGGTCAATTGTCCCGTCATGACAGAGGTGAAGAATTCCGAGTTTACTTTTACTTCTAGTTCACGAAAAAAATAGATGTCTTACGAACACGACATGCATTCAATATTCCAAACGTGTAGCTCGAATGACTGAAGAATTTAGAACACTTGCAGTAAAGATAAAATATTAAAATACAGAAAAACAACGATTGAGGGTGAAATTACAAACGAGATTCTTTCATCTCTTTAAAACTGTTTTTTTGTAAAGTAGGAACCAACTCAACCACCTGTACGTCTTTCTTGACGTGCTTAACTTTATATGAAGTATTAGAAATTTGTTGATCATCTATTCATGTTTAGAAATTCAGCTCTTTCGTACGGCAGTGCATGACACCATCGTTCACAAATGAAGACGGGGGAAGATGTAGATCTTGGCACAGAGCCAAAACAAAAAGGCTTCTGTGACATGCAGGATCCGACGAAAGATCCTATGAAAGTTTGGATCGAGGAGCGGTCGAAAGACGAGCGTTCCTTTTCAAACTTCCACTTTTCATGCAGACATTCAGTTTAAGGTAAAAGTAGCATCCAATCTAATGCAGTCTAATCTGCTGGTTCGTTCCGTTGTTTGGTTCTCGTCGCAATTTAGTGTCGCAAAAATGTAGTTAATGTACGCGTAGTTTTGTGTGAACTTATGGCTCTAGCCAAATTTATATTTTATTCGTTTTTCTATAAAGCATAAAATCTACTGACCAAGTTTTTGCTGTAAATATCGGTGCTTCATTCCATTTGAATAAAAGATATCTTTTTATTATCTGCACGTTAAAAGTATGGATGATAATCACTATCAAAATGGCAACTTTGAGGTTTATTGGATTTCTTTTAAACAGTGAACCTTTGAATTTCAAACTGCACATTTTCTTAAAATCGTGTATTCCCATATTTTCTCTGTCCATGTATTACGCAATAAGTATATGAAATTGTAACCATTAATGATTAAAAACCTATTTTACACAGGTAGCGTTTTTTGAATTGAAAAATTAAAATTTTAAATTTGTAAAACTTGCTTGGTGATTAATTCTTGAAAGAACTATTTCCACAATGTTTTGTCCGGTCAGACGTATTTTTCCAGATTTTTAGTTCGCTTAAGTATCTCTCTGTGTTTGAAGACAGAACTAGATGATTTCAAGTAATCTTACGGTCACGGTGATTTGATGATGACAGAAAATAAACCAAAAATGCTTATTTTTTCTGACAGAACCGAGACCGCCAAGCCTGGGTATGGAGTGCACTGTGGGATCATGCCCATGCAGAGTTTGGCCCCGAACAAAAAAGAGAAAAAGAAAAAAAAGGGCTGCATACAACGTTCCATTGTTGCAAAGATTTTTGATGAAGAATTTTTTCCGCAAGCTCTCAGACGAGCAATGAGTACACTGTGTTTAAAAATCCATACGTCGGGTAAGGGCAAAATCTGTGATTAAAATAAACATCAGCGCGCCGCAAAGGATATCTTGACAATATTGTTTGTGACGTGAAGCTTTCGTCTTGGATGTGTGCTGTGCATTCTACTTTCTTGACAACCGGCATTTGTCATCGTCCCACTTGTTGCATTTACTCTCTAGATTCTGGACAGAACCAAGCCTGATCTGTGCCATCATTTATTCACACCTATTTCTATTAGAACACAAAGAACACAAAAGATGCTCCTTCTGCCAAGATGAAGTAAATTAAGTGAACTTTGACACGGTGCACAGTTGCCCACAATCCTTAAAAGGTAACCCACGGTTTGAACGGTCGTTTGAAAAGCCAGCCGTGTGGTCTGGGATTGCAACGTGTGTGAGAGTGTGTGCGGTGGATTCGTTGTGTCATGTTAAGAATTCAGATCCACACAGCAAAAGCCATCCTGGGCAGGCAAATACAATCTGCTTTATTACGGATATTGAGGGCGCTATACATGTTACCCCAACTGCGATAGGGTGGCATTCATGGTAACTCGGTTTTATGTAGACACTATTCCAAAACAACGAACACGTCAAAAAACACTGAAGCCTTTTAATGCCTTACCCTAATCATGTCATGTTGAGTAAAAAATCCTTGACCAACACTTTAAAGCCACTGTGACCGATCTTTTCCGAAACGATCATTATGTGCTTCTGAAGTTGGATTCAGCATGCCCTCATGATGTCAAATAGGCCATAATGCCAAAACAGCATGTGCATGCATGCTTCCCACATACCAAATCAGTGACCTCACTTTCGGCACAGTTTTTTTTCACCACTTCCCTGGTAACCCACAGAAATTGTGTACAGAGCTTTCTGTGTATTAAAGTCGTGGGACCAGCCAAGGTATGTGGTATTAAAGATATCACCGCACAACTAAACGATGGATTTTCTGGTTGCTATGGCAATGACCTCATGACTACTAAATGACATCTTCCAGGAAAGGTCATTTGGCTCCAGACAAGACTCTTTTGAAGCCTGAGGTCGTTGAGAAATACCCAGCATTTTCTTCGGACGCTTTCTTCTCTGCCGCCTGTGGGTTGACGATCTCCAGACCCTGCCAAGGAAACAGCAAAAATGGGCATCATTCCCGATTGGGAAAGATCACTTTCCCTTCTACCTGAGCTTGGTTCCAGACACAACTCTCTACCAAAATCTTTTGAGTTAAATTACACAAAGTTGGGACCTACTGTTGAAGAATGAGGCACAAGTCAGTAACATCATTTGACGAATCCAAGAAAAATGAAAAATTGAGGCACAATTTTTTTCTGAAGTCGCACTTTCAACACCTTGCAAAGCAAACATGTTCCGAACCTTCACACCTCCAAACTAAACAGGCAGAAAGAATTTAAAGACAAAACTGAATCCTTTCTAGCCACTTTTAAAGTTACGTGATCCCATCGGCTGAGATATCTATTTGTGTGGTATCTACCATGAGGCGTGTAGCCTTCTGGTAAGGAGTTGCAACTACTGAATGTAGGGTCTGGGGTTCGAATCCAGGGGCTGGTGACATGTTGTGACCTTGGGCAAGTCATTTTACTCCCACTTGATTGCCTCTCTCTGACCAGGGGTGTGAATGGGTGCGTGTGAGGGCAGAGATGGTTATGTTTGATTAGCTGCTTGCGTCTGAAATGGCAGCATCGAGCTGTATAAGCCCCAGGGAGCTGAGATGGTTTCACGAATGCTTACAGGCCTGATGAGCTAGGATAAATTGTGCCTTGAAGACCAGACAGAGTGGATATGTCCACTCTCTGACGATCCATTATTACTACATTTAAAGAATGGATTGCAGGCAGGTGCACGGGAGGAACTTAGTGATTTTGAAAAGTGTTACATAACGCCTCTATTCGTACCTGTCTTTTGTTGCTGTTCGTTAAATACCAAAGCTGCATGGACCTTTTCTGTTTGCATGGAATGTTTCGTTCTGTATTCAAGGCCTTATAGCAGGCTGCTCGGCCTCGGTCGGTGTCAGTTATGGTGAACGTGCGTGAGCACAGTTTGAGGTCCGCACTCCTGTTTTTGATGAAGGCTACGTTGCTGCTGCTAGGATCTACCTTTGGGCTGCCGGTGGGGGTTGGTTTTCATAGCGACTGGGGTCCGTGCTGGTGTGGAGGTGCTGTTCATGGGGCGCGGCCTTGATGGCTGTGCTCACTGTTCTGCACCGACCGGGCAGCAGTCTTTATTTTTCGTACAAGTAAGTTAAAGTTAATGTCTGTATTAGTGTTTTCCTTTGCTTGGCCGAGTTGTGTGGCTGCAAAATGTTACTTCAGTGTTAGTTTTTGCATGGCCGCTTTATAAATTTTGTTTTGCTTGGCATGGCTGTTTCTAATCTCGCTACTGCAAGCTCATTGCTTTGTTTTAAGTGGTTTACCTCGTTAATTAAAATAATGTAAATAATTTTATGTATTGGCCAATTCTTGTGCCTGTTTTCTGTGTTTGTGGTTGGCGACCTCTGGTTTGTAACAGAAGCAGGACAGGATTCCGACAGCGTACCTGCAGCGGCGTGAAGGCCACGCTGGACGCTGTGCCAGACGTCTCTCTCCCCCTCACCGTCGATCGTCCGCCGTGTGTCTGCTGGCGCTGCAGCTGGCGCTGTGAAGAGCGAGACAGACAAGAGAGTGACCTCAACCGCTCTGACCACGCTGCCAGCGGGTCGGCCTACCTGCTGTTCACACCCAAGCACCCCCCATCCCTTCCCGGGGACAAGACTGCAAGGCCACGGGCACTGCATACCCCACAGAGAGACACCAACAGATTTGCAAAGCTGAGAGCACAAAAGAGCATGATGGATCATCAGAAGTTCTGACTTGGAGCTGCAAGCACCATTCAGTTTCTCCACTAACCCTAACACTCCTCAGTCCTTCACCTGTTGGAGGATTGAGGAATGTTAGGGTTAACCCTCACTGCCAAGGCCCTTTTGGCTAGGATACACCCTTAAAAACCTTCAAAATCCTCCAACAGCCACCATAAAGTGGTTAATATGTTCTGCGGAGGGGCGCCCACTGCCTCAATCCTTCAAAATCCTCCGGCAATTTCTCTCATTATGTTGAGGCAGTGTGAACGGCATCCTGGAGCTGTATGGAGGATTTCAGGTATACTGTGGGCGTGAATTTATGCAATACAACACAAGGACTAACCCACAACCTTGAGACAACGAATCCTTAGCAACCAGCATTGCAATTTGGCCATGCAGCCTCAATCCCCCCAAATCCTCCAAAACCACTGGGAGGATTTGGAAGGATTGAGGATGGTTACGGTTCATGGTTTTCCTTCAGACTTATCAAAAAACATTCAGGAAAAAAAGGTTCCTTTTCAAACACAAAACCTTTTTCAGAAAGAAACAAGCGGCTGGAATGCATCGCAATGACATAGCAAAGACATTTTCCCTTTGACAATCTAACAACATTCGAATTGCACTGTTGATTAGATTTTATCTGAAAGTTAGCATGTGGACACAAACTGGCCGCTGAATTAATTGAAACCCAAATTGGAGAGGGCAAGAAGAATTGATCCTAAAAAAATGATTGCAAATTTTTGGGGCCAATTCTGAAGCCAAGGTCTGTCTTCATGTGAGGACGGTCCTCGGCTCACTCACCTGTAAGCTCTTGGATATCTTGACCTGCGTTTTGTTGTCCACTTGTGGTCCTCGTATACGGCCCGTTCCCGCTTTGCCCACCTGACCCAGGGAGAAGCCAAGGTCTTCCTGGTAAGCGTCCTCCTCGATCTCGCCGAACGTCATGCGATTGGCCGCCTTACGCATGCTGGTCATGCCCAGCTTCTCCTTCATCTTGCGCACTCTGAACGATGAAACGATTACAAAAAAGAGCACAATGTCCCATTTAATCTTGATGTTAGCAAGGCTGAAATGACCACTGGATTGCCGGTGGTCTAGATTTCACTGTCAGTCTAGTAATACCCTAGGCAGAGTCTGGTTGACTTCTTTTGAAGCGAACATTTTCCTAAAACCAAGAAAGCATGTAAGCTGACGTGACCACAGCCACGGCAAAATTTAGGTTAACATCCTGAGTTTGTTGAAGTATAATAAAGCCCAAGTTTCTCTGAAGTAGCTGAAATGAATCCAACACATTACACACAGTCTTATTAGAAGTAAAGCATTAACCCAAACCCCCTCGGTCCTTTTTGCTGGGGACCCTCCTCAATCCTCCAGAATCCGACAAGTGGGGGAGGGGTGAAAAAATTAGATTCTCCCAAAATCCTCCAAAATTTCTTGACAATGTTACTTGGAGATGTGCCTACTGCCGCAATCCTTCAAAATCCTCTGGCAATTCCTGTCATTATGTTGAGGCAGTGGAAATGGCATCCTTGAGCAGTGCAGTTAATTCGAGAGAAATATCGGGCTGACTTTATGCATGACTGACCAAGGACAACACAAGGTCTAACCCACAACCTTCATTCATGGCATCCTTCGCAATCAGCCATGCCTATCGCCCTCAACCCTCTGAAACCACCCCAAGGATTTTGGAGGACTGAGGAGGGTTACGGTTAATTCTGTTATTTCTCCATTTGAATATGCATGCCTTGTCCTTCATGCGAACGTCTAGTGCTGTCATTCACTCCTTGCTCTACGACATCCTATTTTTACCTTCTGTAGAATTATTTGTGAGTAAAATAAATGGCCTCTTGGAAGCAAATCGAAAAAGAAAAACTTTTCCTGCAACTCACGCTGTAGTCTGTGGTGTGAGTTACTACTGCAAGATCACTACTCACTGCTCTCACTGAGTAACCAATGAAAACATACATCAAGATCATGCGAGTTGCAGCCTAGAAAAACACGAGTCAAGTGAAAGTCACAGGTTTATCACGGGCAAAATCGAGAGGTCTTAATATCTAGGGATGGATGAGTGCCTACAGCCATGTAGTTTGTATCAAAAGTTGTAGCCGGACATGAGGCTGAATGAGTTTGAACAGACTTTTAATTTGGCAACTGTAAGTCTCTCTGGGTTTAGCGTTTGGGCTCAATGCCTACCTTCGTCCACCACGCTTCTTCCTGCTGACGTCGATGGGGGCTGGCAGAGCCTTCACCTGCTTGGGAGGGGGCGGCTCCTGCAGCTTGGAAAGCCGCCGTTCGATCTCCTCGCGTAGGTTCAGTCCGACCGTGCCGATGGTGCTCTCGTGGAAGCTGTCGACCCTGGCAGCGAGGGTACACTTGCCCGCGACAAGACGTGCTGCTTTCTTCCTTAAATCCTGACGTTGATTCAAAGAAACAAGAGCGGTTAGATTACTGATCGAGACCAGAGTTGCGACTGCTGCACGCCGCACTGATTGGATAAGAGGCCTGGAACTTGGTTCTGATTTGCATTAAGGTGGCCAACTAAGTGGATCAGGGGCCTGGAACTTGGTTCTCCAATTGCATGAAGATGACTGACTAAGTGGATCAGAGGCCTGGAACTTGGTTCTGACTTGCATGAAGGTGGCCAACGAAGTGGGTTAGAGGCCTGGAACTCAGTTCTTCAAGATGGTGGCACACTGATTGGAATAGAGGCCTGGAACTTGGATCCCACTTATGTCAGGGTCACAGACTTACTGGATTAGTGGCCTGAACTAGATCGCTGTAGTAGATGTAACCTGTGTGGGGATTAGTGGCCACACTGGAGAACCCTGATAGCGTCTTCCTCTGTGCTCCAAGGACCAGGATGTTACAAGACGGCATCTTGGAGAGATTTGTTAATCCTCCTGCAGCACCTAGAGGAACAAATTACAACAATTAGTGAGTCGGGTAACTGCACCTATATGCTTCTGGTGCATAAATAACCGACGTCATTTGAACCTTTTGAGGAACGGTTTGGCTATGATAGACCTTGAGTTTTCTGTTCTCCTTGCACATTTATTTCAAAAGAACCTAGATTGATCCAATTATCACGTGGAGGCCAGTTTCAACTTTCTATTATAAATTCTTACTCTCTGGGGTACTTTGGCTAGAAACCCTGCCAGAGGCATCAGTCTGCATCGTTTGTCAAAGTGGCTTGCCTGCCCAGTGTGACAAGATCCAACAAGTCAACTTTCTCCAAGGCTTAACGGCCTAGGACTCTGCGGTTGCCAGTCACCACAAGATCTAGTAGGTCAACTCTCCCCAACGCCAAACGACCTGGGACTCTGTGGTTGCCAGTCACCACAAGATCCAACAGGTCAACTCTCCCCAAGGCCAAACGACCTAGGACTCTGTGGTTGCCAGTCACCACAAGATCCAACAGGTCAACTCATCCCCAAGGCCAAACGGACTAGGACTCTGTGGTTGCCAGTCACCACAAGATCTAATAGGTCAACTCATCCCCAAGGCCAAACGGCCTAGGACTCTGTGGTTGCTAGTCATCACAAGATCCAACAGTGGCATTGTTCAATGGGACTAGCTCCCTTGCCTCAACTTAGCCAGTTTGTTTGGCTACTGTTGATTACTCAGCGCATCAAGATGCACCAGACTTTTGCATGTGTTTTACTTTGCTGCATTAAGTGGGGTAAGGGTTAAAAGGCAATTTATGGAGGAAAGGACACCATACATATCCCCACATTTAGGTAGTAGAAAAATCTTCAGGAGTCCAGACTCACCCATGATCTTGGCCGCAGTTGACGAGCCGACAATGACGGAGAGGTTGGGTGCAATGAACGACATGCGTGACTCCACGTAGGCTTGGATTCTGGATTTGGCCTCGTTCAAGTCAAACGCCTGCAGCAACAAATGAGTAATCCTCTCTTCATTCATGTTTCTCATGCTGAACCAGAATCGCCGCGACACTTCAACTGCTACAGAAAATGGCACGTTTAGTGCACGGACTTTTGACCTGCCCTACATGATACCAGTAGAGTTGCAATGCTTCCCAAGTAATTCCTAGGTAATTTTTGGAAGCGCTGAGTCAATTCGAATAATTCACTATTCGAATATTCGACCTTCAATTCAATCGAATATCTGAATATTCGGTCGTTCCAACTGGCAGATTGTTGATGAACAAGCACATCCAAAAAGGTTGCTATAACGCACACCATTGCACATTATGATCGATATAATAGCTTCTCACATCTAGGAGTATCTCCAGCCACGATTTAGCAAGATTTCAGAGACGAACGATACTCCTTGTCCTGTTGAAAATTTCTATTCTATAAAAGCTTTTTGCTGAATGATTTACTTTTTGAATCGTTGTAAGATTTCTGTCGCTTGTCATCTGAATCTGCTTGAAACAAACCTGAAGGGGTCAATTTTTCTCATTGACAACGAAAGAAAATTCCTCCTTCCTTTCTTTGAATTCTGCATTCGAATATTTGGATATTCGGCGAAGCCCCAAGTGAGCAAATGTACCCTTCCCAACTCACTCCAACTGAAGTCTCTGCAAAGGAACAAGTAAACTACATGTGACTTGGACTGGCACTTTACAAATGTTCGCCTCTGAAATAAACCGAGTTTCAAGTCGTCCAAATCAGGGATGTACCATGTCGCATGCTTCAAAGACCGTTGCCAACTCTTCCTCCGTCAACTCTGTCCCCTGGGTGGTGGAGGCCGACACGCTCACCACCATTATCACCGCGTTTGTCAGGATGGCCTGCAGCTGCTCGTTGGTCTTCGTGTTGTCGAGGGTGTTGCCTAGTTCCTGTCGAGGGAAACCAACAGATGTAATCTTTTTGATCACTACGCTCAGCACACGTCAAATGAACAAAATGTTCAGTTCAGAGCCTATGTTGAAATGATTACTCTAAACTCCTTCAAGGCATCTTATGCTTTCACTTTTTCTGATCTTCCAAAACCAACGGCGCATTCCAAGTACTCTGACTTTCTTAGAGGTATCAAATCCCTGTGTACATTCAACCTAACCGCTGAGGCCCTTTTGTACTGTAAGCAAATTGGATACAGCCTCAGTCCTCCAAAATCCTCCGATATTTCTGGAATATGTCCCGCGGAGGGGTGCCCACTGCCTCGATCCTTCAAAATCCTCCGGCAATTCTCATGATGTTGAGGCAGTGTGAATGGTACCCGAGAGCAGTATGGAGGATTTCACAGATAATGCGGGAATGAATTTATGCAACACAACACAAGGACTAACCCACAACCTTGAGACAATGCATCCTTTGCAATCAGCAATGCGATTTGGCCATGCAGCCTTTATCCTCCAAAATCCTTCAAAACAGCCTGGAGGATTTTGAAGGATTGAGGATGGTTAGGGTTAATTAACATCAGCTGGGCCATACTTTTCTCAGTCCTACAAACATCTCGTCAATCTGGTGGACTCTGACAGTTTTGGGGTTAAACTGACGCACAAACCTTGACCGTCCGCAGGTACTCTTGGGGTGTGGGGACCAGGGATTCCAGCTCAGGGAAGCGTTTCTGGTAGTGATCTCTAACGAATTTATGGATGATGTCTGTTCCAAAAAACAAAGAGCAGGGAACAGCTTTGAGGTATCTGGCAGAGCAGTTGTTATGACAACATCAAAATGCAAAAATCCAATATGTGAAAAAGGTTATTACTCAAGTTCAAATTTTATTCTGAAAGATATGAACAAGAAAATATAGGTACTGCATCCCAGGAATTTTTCAGTCAAAATGCACGTGCCTCAGTGTCAAAAACAATTTACTAAGAAAACGAACAAGAAAAGTAACCAGTTGCATCATCTAAATGTTTATTCTCAGGTTTTTACAATCTAATAAAAAGAAGACAACGGAATAACTTTGGTCTGCGGTGATATGGTCTATAGGATTTCGTACATCCTCGGGGGGAAAAATAACACCATTGACTTTGGTACAAAGAGGGTGTGCAAAAAGCCATGGACCACACCACAGCAGGAGACAACTGCACGGCACTTCTATCTCACTGATTTCGTTGTCAATCTCGACGCTCAGGTTGTTTGCTTGGACGATGAGTTGGTATTCTGGATCTGCCTCAACGGGACCAACCACTGAAACGATGAACACAGAAGCAACTATCAGCCATGAATTACATATAATCGGATCCATGTTGGAGCAGTTGAGAATGTAACATGCCCAAACAGCATTCAAAGTGTTCGATTCATTTCAAAAGAAGTTCTAAGATGTAATTATTGCCTTGGGAGATATCGATTTTTATATCAGGGTGTCAATAAAATAGAATATTAAATAAAGCAACTGTAAACTCAGCACTGTCCGCGGGCTTGTCAAAAAATCGACAAACTTACTTGGGATGAGACTCAAACCAGACTTAGTTTTGCAGACATCTTTAGACTTTTCAACCGTCTTCTTTGCTAAGAGAAATGGTGTGGAGAAACTCTGAGGAATTGGAGTGTCATCTTACCTTCCTCCTTTCGCGGATTTTCCTGGAAGTACTCGATTTGTCCCATCACGTTTTTCAACTGCCAGAGCAAAGAACGCAAGAATAGTTTTGGTTTCAACCATGCAAACATGCCGTCATATCTCCAACACTGGAGAATGAGCCACTTTGGTATTGCCAAAAAGCAAGGCCCCTCAGGAATAAAGTACACATGCCCAGTCTACTCAGGGCCGTGCTGGTAAGCTAGACCTAGCACGTCTATTCAAATGACCTCGGACACGCTTCGCTTTGGTTAGGCGCTGTCGGAATACCGAACTGGCTCATTCAATTCAGAATCCCCTGGAGTTTTCTGAATAGATATTGCATGAGTATTTANGTTACTACTCAAGTTCAAGTTTTATTCTGAAAGATATGAACAAGAAAATATAGGTACTGTATCCCAGGAATTTTTCAGTCAAAATACACGTGCCTCGGTGTCAAAAACAATTTACTGAGAAAACAAATTCATCTGAACAAGAAAAGTAACCAGTTGCATCCTCTAAATGTTTATTTCTTAGGTTTATACAATCTAATAAAACAAAACAACGGAATAACTTTGGTCTGCGGTGATATGGTCTATAGGATTTCGTACATCCTCGGGGGGAAAAATAACACCATTGACTTTGGTACAAAGAGGGTGTGCAAAAAGCCATGGACCACACCACAGCAGGAAACAACTGCACGGCACTTCTATCTCACTGATTTCGTTGTCAATCTCGACGCTCAGGTTGTTTGCTTGGACAATGAGTTGGTATTCTGGATCTGCCTCCACGGGACCAACCACTGAAACGATGAACACAGATGCAACTCTCAGCCATGAATTACATATAATCGGATCCATGTTGGAGCAGTTGAGAATGTAACATGCCCAAACAGCATTCAAAGTGTTCGATTCATTTCAAAAGAAGTTCTAAGATGTAATTATTGCCTTGGGAGATATCGATTTTTATATCAGGGTGTCACCAAAAGAGAAAATTAAATAAAACAACTGTAAACTCAGCATTGTCAGCGGGCTTGTCAAAAAATCGACAAGCTTACTTGGGATAAGACTCAAATCCGTCAAGCTTGCCGGGCGCTGGAGGGCCCGTGTTCAAAAACACATTGCTTATGGAGTTGCTGTGCTTTCAATGCCAACACTGGGTGAAAACTCCTCAGGTGAAGATTTTCTTTGCTAAGGGAAATGGTGTGGAGAAACTCTGAGGCATTGGAGTGTTATCTTACCTTCCTCCTTTCGAGGATTCTCCTGGAAGTACTCGATTTGTCCCATCACGTTTTTCAACTGCCAGAGCAAAGAACGCAAGAATAGTTTTGGTTTCAACCATGCAAACATGCCGTCACATCTCCAACACTGGAGAATGAGCCAATTCGGTATTGCCAAAAAGCAAGGCCCCTCAGGAATAAAGTACAGATGCCCTGTCTGCGCAGGGCCGTGCTGGTAAGCTAGACCTAGCACGTCCATTCAAATGACCTCGGACACGCTTCGCTTTGGGCAGGCGCTGTCGGAATACCGAACTGGCTCATTCAATTCAGAATCCCCTGGAGTTTTCTGAATAGATATTGTGTGAGTATTTATT